GGGCCTATAACCATATTTTGGAAAGCTCGCGACAATTCAGAATGAGGTTCGCCTGGGAGAATAGGCACTTGCGTACACGGAACGATTGGATTGTCAGTGTTTAAAAATATTGGCATAACTTTCGTATAAGATGTCCATTTTGGGCCCATAACCACATTTCATAAAGCTCGCGACGGTTCAGAATGAGGTTCACATTGAAGAACAGGCACTTGCGCACACAAAAAGATTGGATTGTTGGTGTTTGAAAAATTGGCGTAACTTTTGCATACGGAGTCCGTTTTGGGTCCATAACCTTATTTTGGAAAGCTCGCGACGATTTGGAATGACGTTTGCTTGAAAGAACAAGCACTTGCATACACGGAACGATTGGATTGTTAGTGTTCGAAAAAATTGGCATAACTTTCGCATGCGTTGTCCGTTTTGGGCCCCTAACCACATTTTGGAAAGCTCACGACTATTCGGAATGAGGTTCGCGTGGAAGAACCAGCATGTCCATACACGAAATGCTTAGAATGTCAGTTTTCGAAAAAATCAGCATAACTTTTGCATACGATATCAGTTTCGGTCCCATAACCACATTTCAGAAAGCTCACGACAATTAAGAATGAAGTTCGCGTGTGGAAGAATCGGCACTTGCGTACACTAAATGCTTGGATGGTCAATTTTTGAAAAATTGAAATAACGTTCGCATACGATGTTTGTTTGGTCCAATAACCACATTTCGAAAAGCTCGCGATGATTCAAAACGAGGTTTGCAAGAAAAATCGGCACTTGCATACACAGAACGATTGGATTGTTACTTTTTCGAAAAAATTGGCATAACTTTCGCATACGGTGTCTGTTTTGGGCCCATAACCATATTTTAAAATGCTCGTGATGATTCGAAATGAGGTTTACATGGAAGAACAAGCACTTACGTACACTGAACGATTGGATTGTTAGTGCTTGACAAAATTGGCATAACTTTCACATACGGTGTCCGTTTTGGGCCCACAAACACATTTTGGAAAGCCCATGATGATTAAGAACGAGGTTCACATGGAAGAACCAGTACTTATGTACACGGAATGCTTGGTTTAAAAGTTTTAAAAAAAATTGGCATAACTTTCGTATACATTGTCCATTTTGGGCTCATAACCACATTTCAGAAAGCTCATGACGATTCTCGGAATGAGGTTTCATTGGAAAAACAAGCACATGTGTACACAGAATGCTTGGATTGTTAGCTTTTGAAAAAATTGGCATAGCTTTTGCATACGATGTCCGTTTTGGACCCATAACCATATTTCGAAAAGCTTGCGATGATTCGGAACGATGTTTACGTGGAAGAATCGGCACTTGCGTACAAAGAATGCTTGGATTGCCAGTTTTGGAAAAAATTGGCAAAACTTTCGCATACAGTGTTCCTTTTGGGCCTATAAACACATTTTGGAAAGCTCGTGACAATTAAGAATGAGGTTCATGTGGAAGAACCAGCACGTACGTACACGAAACGCTTGGTTTAAAAGTTTTCAGAAAAATTCACATAACTTTCACATACGTTGTCCATTTTGGGCCTATAACCACATTTCAGAAAGCTCGCGACGATTTGAAATGAGGTTTCAGTGGAAGAATGAGCACTTGCATACACAAAATGATTAGATTGTCAGTGTTAGAAAAAATTAGCTTAACTTTCGCATACTTTGTCCGTTTTCATCTCATAACCACGTTTCGGAAAGCTCACGATGATTAAGAACGAGGTTCACGTGGAAGAATAGACATTTGCGTACAAGGAATGCTTGGATTGTCAGTTTTCAAAAAAATTGGCATAACTTTCAATACGGTGTCCATTTTGGGCCCATAACCACATTTCGAAAAGCTCGCGATGATTCGAAACGAGGTTCGTGTGAAAGAACGGCCTCTTACTTACATGGAATGCTTGGATTTTCAGTTTTCGAAAAAATTGACATAACTTTCGCATACGTTGTCCGTTTTTGGCCCACAACCACATTTCGGAAAGCTCGCGACGTTTCGAAACGAGGTTCGAGTGGAAGAACAGTCACTTGTGTACACGAAACGCTTGCATTGTTAGTTTTCAAAAAAATTGGCATAGCTTTCGTATACCATGTTCGTTTTGGGCCCATAACCATATTCTGAAAAGTTTGCGACAATTCGTAACAACGTTCACGTGGAAGAACCAGCACTTGCGTATAAGGAATGCTTGGATTGTCAGTTTTCAAAAAAGTTAGCTTAACTTTCGCATACGGTTTTCGTTTTGGGCCCACAAACACATTTTGGAAAGCCCGTGATGATTAAGAATGAGGTTGACATGGAAGAACCAGTACTTACGTACACGGAACGCTTGGTTTAAAAGTTTTCAAAAAAATTGGCATAGCTTTCGTATACGTTGTTCGTTTTAGGCTCATAACCACATTTCGGAAAGCTCGCGACGATTCTCGAAATGAGGTTTGCATAGAAGAACAAGCACTTGTGTACACGGAACGATTGGATTGTCAATGTTAGAAAAAATTATCTTAACTTTTGCATACGGAGTCCATTTTGGGCCCATAACCACATTTTGGAAAGCTCGTGATGATTCAGAATGAGATTCACGTGGAAGAACAGATACTTGCGTACACGAAATGCTTGGATTGTTAGTTTTCGAAAAAATTGGCATAACTTTCATACAATGTCTATTTTGGGCCCATAACCATATTTCGAAAAGCTCGCAACAACTTGGAATGAGGTTCGCGTGGAAGAATAGGCACTTGCGTACAAGGAATGCTTGAATTGTCAATTTTCAAAAAAATTGGCACAACTTTTGCATACATTGTCCATTTTTGGCCCATAACCTCATTTCAAAAAGATCGTGATGATTCGAAATGAGGTTTGCATGGAAAAATAGTCACTTGCATTTACAGAATGCTTTAATTGTCAGTTTTCAGAAAAATTGGTATAGCTTTCGCATACAGTGTTCGTTTTGGGCTCATAACCATATTTTGGAAAGCTCGCGACGATTTGAAACGAGGTTTGCGTGGAAACACAAGCACTTGCATACACGGAACAATTGGGTTGTCAGTGTTCAAAAAAATTAGCATAACTTTGGGATACGGAGTCCGTTTTGGGCTTATATCCACATTTCGAAAAGCTCGTAATGATTCGGAACGAGGTTTGTGTAGAAGAATAGGCACTTGCATACACGGAACGATTGGATTGTCAGTGTTGAGAAAATTGGCATAACTATCGCATACAGTGTCCGTTTTAGGTACATAACCACATTTCAGAAAGCTTGTGATGATTCGGAATGAGGATAGCGTGGAAGAACTGTTGGATTGCCGTGTTTGATAAAATTGGCATAACTTTCACATACGGTGTCAGTTATGGGCCCATAACCACATTTCAGAATGCTCAGGATGATTCGTAATGAGATTTATGAGGAAGAACGAGCACTTCCGAACACAGAACGCTTGGATTAAAAGTTTTCAAAAAAAATGGCATAACTTCCCATACGATGTCCGTATTGGGCCCATAAATACATTTCAGAAAGCTCTCGATGATTTGGAATGAGGTTCACATGGAAGAATAGTCACTTGTATACACGGAACAATTGGATTGTCAGTTTTCAAAAAAATTGGCATAGTTTTCGCATACGGTGTCCGTTTTGGGTCTATAACCATATTTCAGAAAGCTAGCAATGATTTTGGAAGAGGTTTTCATGGAAGAACAAGCACTTGCATTCAAGGAACACTTGGATTGTCGATTTTCAAAAAAATTGGCATAACTTTCGCATACGGTGTCCATTTTGGGCCCATAACCACATTTAGGAAAGCTCGCGATGATTCAGAATGAGATTCGTGAGGAAGAACAGGCACTTGTGTACACGGAACACTTGGATTGTCAGTTTTCGAAGTAATAGGCATAACATTTGCATACGGTATCCGTTTTGGTCCCACAATCACATTTCGGAAAGCTCGCGACGATTAAGATTTAGGTTCACGTGGACGAACTGGCACTTGTGTAATATCCCAAACTTCCTGTTATATATTTGGCCAATATAATTCATGCATTTCATGCTATTCACAATGTTACTTGCATTAGTTTTCTTAATTACTTTATCTTAAAATGGTGCATTCGATTATGGATATTTTAAGATTTTAGTCTTTGACTCCTAGACCTAGGTGTTGAATTTTGTATTGAGCTATGATAGGAAATTAGGTTAACTAAATGTTGGAGATTGGCTTGATAAGAAATGGAATATCGAAAAGGTCGGAAATTGGTATCGACAAAAGTTCAAGCTGTCTATTCAGTTGATCGAGACCACCTTAAACCCTAGATAGGTAATTGACATATTTGGGACATGATACATAAAGGAACATGATCATGATGCGATAATATATGTCTCATATGACATTATAAATATCGAGGTGCGATTTGATGAAATCGGTCGAGAATGGGGTGTAAATCGGGTAAGTAATTAAATGAACGATTGAGGAATTAGCTCTATAAAATATTTTTGGATCTTAGGGCAAGTGAAATGGATTATAAACACATTAACATAAAGCCCAGTATACTTGATTTATACCTGCAAAGATAGATATAAAATCAGATTTTTTTACTAGTGACCACCTCATGCTTGAACACCTCATGCTTTTAATGTTTATAATTTTAACACCCAATTCCTTTAACCTTAAGGCATCAATCTCCTGTCCTACTCCTTAATCACTTATTATAGGATGAATATATATCTTATAATCATAAATGGATCCAAATATAATGGTTGAAAATCAAGTATGGCTGCAATGAAGACACGTCGTGCTTGGCACCTCATGCTTGGGATTGTTGTCATTTTAACACTCAATCCCTTCATCCTTAAGATATATAGCACGTCTCCTACCTCTTTTTATTTAATATAGATAGATATACATATCTTATAAATCAATATAAGTTAAATAGTCCAAGAGAAAAGTCAAATATAGTAGGAAAAGACCACCTCATGCTAAACACTAGGCTGCACCCCACATTTTCTTAATCCTTAAGGAAGAGTCACGTCTCCAGCATCTTGAAGACTTTATATACACCTCCTAACAACATGTTTAGTCTTACAAATTATCCCCAATTGACCACCGATTGAAAGAGAAAGCAAAAAGGGAAAGAGAGAAGCAGAAACAAGGAGCTGAAATTGAATTTCTGGATAGGTGAGTTTAGCTCACGGTTTTGAAGTTTTTCTTTAGTTCTTTTGCTTGTTTTATAATATGTTTGAACTATAAACTCACTTCAGGCTAAGTATAAGGGCTGTTTATGATTTTATGACGGCAAAAGAGAGGGGTAATTGAGTACAAGAACCTGAAAGAAACCAACAGGAATAGAGATGTGTTGATTGATGAATTTGGATGGTTTAAACTTTGATTTTGGATAATACTGAAGATATAACTTGTATCTATGTAAATTAATGTTGTTATATGGGATTTAGAAGGATATAAATGGTCTTCTAATAGCCTGGAATCTGTTTAATGACATGCTAATAAAATGGAAACCGAAAGCTGTCACAATGAAAACTGCCTGATTTTGATGTCATGGAAATGGACTATTTTGATACTGAGAACACTTGATTTGTCACGAATTTAGGGCATTATTGTCTTCACATACATGTTATAGAAACGTGGTAAAAATTTGGGAGTCATTGGATATGGATAAGGGGGTGAAAACGGATTGGAAAAGTAGTTGGACGGTGATGAAACCTGAAAAACAGGTTCTGTCCATTTATGTGTTTAATATGATTTCAACCTTTACATGTAAATTAATTATCTCTTGGGCCTAGAAAAAGATTCTAAGGAGTATTAGGTTGTTGACAACAATTGGACGACGTTGATGTTGGTAATTGGACTCGAGGAAAAATGAGACTTATGGGATGAGATTGTAATGCCATTAGTAACTTGAATAATGAATTCGTTTAAATTATTTTGACGTGAATGGAAATATTTTGGGATTTTGTGTATGTTAAGGCTATTAAATGGAGGATTGCCTTTAATATTAAATAGTAATATAGATGATTTCCGACGTTGAGTGAAAAAGGAAAGTGATATAATCTCCGTAGGAGCTCGTGCACACACAAGGGCAAAAAGGTAAGTAAAAATCCATTTGCAACTACAATGCAAGAACTTAGCATTTGTGGTATAGTGATGTTAGGATATTTTCATACTTTGATAAGAAAGCTCGTTGCATCCTATATGATGATTATGATCATTGAGTATGTGGTTGCAAAATACATTGACATCAACTTCCATTAAGCATGTCATTCATGAGCATTTTCATTGGCATGCACAACATATGATCATGGTTGAAAACTTTGCATGCAAAACATGATTTCAAAGTAAGTTTTCTTTATAAATGTTTTATTGACCACTACTAGGGCACCGAGGCATGTGAGGCATGCTTATGTGATATGTTTGGCATCGCGGGTGATACTTCTTGGGGTGATTACAAAGGTAGACAGGGGATGGGCCTTTGGTGATCACGGGAGGGCGGACCACTCGACTATGCCCTTGTTATGATTATTGGCGCTGCCGGGTGGGAGACTTCTTGGGTGATCATAGGGGTAGTTAGGGGATGGGCCTCTAGCGGTCACGAGAGGATGGTCCACTCGCCGGTGTCGATTTCATATTGGCCACTTGAATATTGATATTGATAATATGCAGAGCTCTATCTAGTGCATAGTTGGTGGGTCAAGGGCCCAATGAAATGAAAGATTTCAAATGAAATAATTTCGAGTCGACTTTGATGAATATTGGAATATGATGCATCTTTAGCATGATGTTTAAAGTAAATGACATGGTGCCATATATCCTTGTTACTCATACTCATGACATGCATGATTCTTGCTTGCTAAGCATTGGCTTATGTAGTTCTTACATTGTAGGTGAGCATGGAACTATACAGAGGGCACGGCTAGCTGTAGAGCTCTTACGGGACTCCAAAGATCAATGTACATGGATGATGACCTGTAGGGTTATTTTGTGGGCTATTGTTTTGAGCTTACACTCTATTGTGTCATATTTGGGGGGTCCTGTCTTGTATAACTTTTGAAATGGCCTATAGATGTGTTTATAACCTTAGAACATACGTGTTGGATTATGGTTATATGATCGTTGATTTTGATATAATATATGATCATCACAGTTGATTTGAAGTTAACAATTAGGAACATAATTGTGCAAATGCTCGTTTCATTTTATTAAAAAAAAAGTATATCTAAATTTTGTGTCTAGATCGAGTTACCAATATCATTTCGATATAGGAATTAGTATGGTTATCTGTATATATTTGGGGTGTGACAACTTGCGAACATGGAATGCTTAGATTGTCATTTTTCGAAAAAAATTGACATAACTTTCCCAAACGGTGTCCCACAAACACATTTCGGAAAGCTAATGACCATTAAGAATGAGGTTTGTGTGGAAGAACCGGCACTTGCATACATGGAACACTTGGATTGTTAGTTTTCAAAAATTTGGTATATCTTTCGCATACGGTGTCCATTTTGGGCCCATAACCATATTTCGAGAAGCTCGCGATGATTTGTATCGAGGTTCGCATGGATGAATAGGCACTTACATACAAGGAACACTTGGATCGTCAGTTTTTGAAAAAATTGGCATTACTTAAGCATACAATGTCTGTTTTGGGCCCATAACCACATTTAGGAAAGCTCACGATGATTCGAAATGAGGTTCACATGAAAAACCTGACAATTGTGTACACGAACCCTTGGATTGTCCATTTTAGATAAAATTGGCATAACTTTCCCATATGGTGTCCATTTTTGACCCATAACCACATTTCGAAAAGCTCATGATGATTCGGAATGAGGTTCGCGTGGAAGAACAAGTACTTGCGTATACAGAGTGATTGGATAATCATTTTTCGAAAACATTGGCATAACTTTCTCATACAGTGTCTGTTTTGGGCCCAAAAACACATTTCAGAAAGCTCGCGACAAGTAAGAATGAGGTTCACTTGGAAGAACCGACTTTTGCATACATGAAATGCTTGGATTGTCAGTTTTTGAAAAAATTAGCATAACTTTTGCATACGATGTCCGTTTTGGGTACGTAACCACATTTAGGAAAGCTCACATAGATTCAGAATGAGATTCGCATTGAAGAACAAGCACTTGCGTACACGGAATGCTTGGATTGTCAGTTTTCAAAAAAATGGCAAAACATTCGCATACATTGTTATTTTGAGCCCATAACCACATTTTGGAAAGCTCGTGACGATTCGGAACGAGGTTCACGTGGAAGAATAGGCACTTGCATACCAGGAAGGCTTCGTTTGTCAATTTTTGAAAAAAATGGCATAACTTCTGCATACAGTGTCCGTTTTGGGCCCATAACCACATTTTGAAAAGCTGGCGATGATTTGGAATGTGATTCATGTGGAAGAACCGACACTTGCGCACATAGAATGCTTGGATTGTCGATTTTCAAAAAATCTGGCATAACTTTTGTATACGATGTCCGTTTTGGTCCAATAACCATATTTCAAAAAGCTCGCGACAATTCGGAACAAGGTTCACAAGAAAGTTTCGACACTTGCATACACGGAACGCTTGGATTGTCAGTTTTCAAAAAAATTGGCATAACTTTCACATACGGTGTCCGTGTTGGGCCCATAACCACATTTCGTAAAGCTAGCGATGATTCGAAATGAGGTTTGCATAGAAGAACCAGCACATGCGTACACAAAATGCTTGGATTGTCAATTTTCGAAAAAATTAACATAACTTTCGCATACGGTGTCCGTTTTGGGCCCATAACCACATTCAGGAAAGCTCACGAAGATTTGAAATGAGATTCACATTGACGAACAGGCACTTGCATACACGAAACGCTTAGATTGTTAGTTTTCAAAAAAATTGGCAAAACTTTGGCATACGTTGTCCTTTTTGGGCCTATAACTACATTTCGAAAAGCTTGCGACAATTCAAAACGTGGTCCACATGGAAGAATAGGAACTTGCATACACGGACAGCTTCATTTGTCGATTTTCAAAAAAATTAGCATAACTTCTGTATACGATGTTCGTTTTGGGCCCATAACCACATTTCGGAAAGTTGGTGACAATTTGGAACTTGATTCGCGTGGAAGAACTGATACTTGTGCACACAAAATGCATGGATTGTCATTTTTCGAAAAAATTGGCATAACTTTCGCATATGGTGTCCGTTTTGGTCCAATAACAACATTTTGAAAAGCTCGAGATGATTCAAAATGAGGTTTGCATGGAAGATCTGACACTTTCGTACATGAAACACTTAGATTGTCAGTTTTTGAAAAAATTGGCATAACTTTCGTATACGGTGTTTGTCTTGGGCCCATAACCATATTTCAAAAAGCTCGTGACAATTCAAAATGAGGTTCGCATAGAAGAATCGGCACATGCATACACCGAATGCAAGGATTGTCAAGTTTTAAAAAAATTAGCATAACTTTCGCATACGGTGTCCGTTTTAGGCCTATAACCACATTTCGAAAAGCTCGTGACGATTCGAAATGAGGTTAGAATGCTTGGATTGCTAGTTTTCAAAAACATTGGCATAACTTTCACATACGATGTCCATTTTGGGCAATAGCCACATTTCGGAAAGCTCGCAATGATGCGGAATGAGGTTCGTGTGGAAGAATCGGTACTTGCGTACACGGATCAGTTTGATTGTCGATTTTCAAAAAAATTGGAATCACTTTTGCATACGGTGTCCATTTATGGCCCAGAACCACATTTCAAAAAGCTCACGATGATTAAGAAAGAGGTTCGCGTGGACGAACTGGCACTGGTGTACAGAGAATGCTTGGATTGTCAATTTTCGAAAAAATTGGCATTACTTTCTCATACGGCGTCTGTTTTGGGCCCATAACCACATTTCAGAAAGTTTGTCATGATTTGAAACCAGGTTTTCATGGAAGAACTAGCACTTGCATACATGGAATGCTTGGATTGTTAATTTTCAAAAAAATTGGCATTAGTTTTGTATACAGTGTCCGTTTTGGGCCAATAAACACATTTTCGAAAGGTCGCAATGATTTGGAACGTGGTTCGCATGGAAGAACAAGTACTCGTGTACACGGAAATATTGGATTGTTAGTGTTTGAAAAAATTGGCGTGACTTTCGCATACAGAGTCCGTTTTGGGCCATAACCACATTTCGAAAAGCTCGCGACGATTTAGAACGAGGTTTGCATGGAAGAACAAGCACATGCATACAGAAAATGATTGGATTGTCAGTGTTCAAAAAAATTAGCATAACTTTTACATATGTGTCCGTTTTGATCCGATAAACACATTTCGAAAAGCTTGCAATAATTCGGAACGAGGTTCATGTGGAAGAACAGGTACTTGTGTACACGGAACGATTGGATTGTCAGTGTTGAAAAAATTGGCATAACTTTCGCATACGGTGTCCGTTTTGGGCCCATAACCACATTTCAAAAAGCTCGTGATGATTCGAAATAACATTCATCTGGAAGAACCAGGACGTACCTACAAGGAACCCTTGGATTGTCAGTTTTCAAAAAAATTGGCATAACTTTCGCATACGGTGTACATTTTGGTCCCATAACCACATTTTGGAAAGCTCGCGATGATTAAGAACGAGGTTTGAGTGGAGGAATCGGCACTTACATACACAAAATGCTTAGATTGTCAGTGTTTGAAAAAATTGGCATAACCTTTACATACAGAGTTTATTTTGGGCCCATACCCACATTTCAGAAAGCTTGCGATGATTCTAAATGAGGTTCGTGTGGAAGAATAGGCGCTTGGGTACACGGATCGATTGGATTGCCAGTGTTGAAAAAATTGGGATAACTTTTGCATAAGGTGTCTGTTTTAGGCCCATAACCACATTTCAGGAACTTGCATACACGAAATGATTGAATTGTCATTGTTTGAAAAAATTGGCATAACTTTCACATACGGTGTCCGTTATGGGCCCATAACCACATTTCGAAAAGCTCGCGACGATTAAGATCGAGGTATACGTGGACGAATCAGCACTTATGTACGTGGAATGCTTGGATTGTCAATTTTCAAAAAATTGGCATAACTTACACATATGGTGTTTGTTTTAGGCCCATAAACACATTTTGGAAAGCTCGTGACGATTAAGAATGAGGTTCGCATAGAAGAACCAGCACTTGCGTACACGGAATGCTTAGTTTAAAAGTTTTTAAAAAATTGGCATAACTTTCGCATACGTTGTCGGTTTCGGGACCATAACCACATTTCAGAAAACTCGCGATGATTCTGAACAAGGTTCACATGGAAAAATTGATACTTGCTTACACGAAATGCTTGGATTATCAGTTTTCGAAAAAATTGGCATAACTTTCGCATACGTTGTCCTTTTTGGCCCATAACCACATTTCAGAAAGCTCACACTATTCAGAAAGAGGTTTATGTGGAAGAACACGCACTTGCGTACATGGAATGATTGGATTGTTAGTGTTGAACAAATTGGCATAACTTTCGCATACGCCGTCCGTTTTGGCCCCATAACCACCTTTCGGAGAGCTCGCGATGATTTGAAACGAGGTTCACGTGGAATAATAGGAACTTGCGTACACGAAATGATTGGATTGTAATTGTTTGAGAAAAATTGGTATAACTTTCGCATAAGGTGTCCGTTTTGGGCCCATTACCGCATTTTGGAGAGCTCACGACGATTCGGAATGAGGTTCACGTGGAAGAATAGGAAATTGCGTACACGAAACAATTTGACTATCATTGTTTGAAAAAATTAGCATAACTTTCGTATACGGTGTCCATTTTGGGCCATAACCACATTTTGAAGAGCTCGCGATGTTTCGGAATGAGGTTCACGTGGAAGAATAGGAACTTGTGTACACAAAATGATTTGATTGTCATTGTTTGAAAAAAAATTGCATAACTTTCATATACGGTGTCTGTTTTGGGCCCAAAACCACATTTCGAAAAGCTCACGATGATTAAGAGCGACATTCGCATGGAAACACTAACACTTGCATACACAGAACGCTAGGATTGTTAGTTTTAAAAAATTGGCTTAACTTTCACATACGGTGTTTGTTTTGGGCCCACAAACACATTTCGGAAAGCTCATGATGACTAAGAACGAGGTTCGCATGGAAGAACCAGCACTTGCGTACACGG